GTGATGTGGTAAGCTCCTTTTCTATCCAAACATCTATCGTCCTTATCTCTCCTCCCTTTCTTGGGAAGATTGAAGAATACCAGACCACTCGTACATTATTGCGCGAGAAAGTGGGGTTGGTAGGGTGGGTGGATGAGGGGGGGTTCAGGGGGGTCTCCCCCCTGACAAAATTTTAATGAATAGATCTACCGGTCCGAGATTCTCCATTGAGAGATATTAAAAACGGGAAAATTATGAATTCCTAAGGTTGAGACATAGGCAAAGTCAGTCCGCTGGTCCGGTATTCTTCAATCTTACCCCTTTCTTTGTCATGTTACTCTCTAGTCTAGTACTAGTAGTAGCAACTCTTATTAATTTTCACTTATATTATGACCTATTTGTGTTGCGAGTGTGCAAATCTCAAACAAAATTTTTTTTAATCGTCCAGCTCTCATGGTGTACGTTGTGCTAGTTATGCTGTCTCATCATATCAATTATTATAATTGTTATAATACATGTAATTATTATAATGCATTGTTTGCAAAACTGATTTGTTTTTATTTTGTGTTGTTTGTTTTTTACTTCCTTTTTTCTTATATTTAGTAGGTGCACAGTATTCAGTATGTACTGGTAGTATGGTAATGGTTTTTATTAATACAGTCCAGTCCATTCATAACAGCCTCTGTTATTACAGGAACTTAGATATAACAGTGATAAATCAAATCCCCAGGTTTTTTACCTCTATAAGTGTAATAATAATATGAATATTATAAATATGAACCTGGCTATAACAGGGTTCAATTTGCACAGACTAGGATTTAGGATATAACTACCGTGATCTTGCAGCGCATGAACTTGCTTTTGGTCGTTCAAATTATTGAAATTTGTCTAACCAAGATATTTCACCTGTTTGTATGACCGCTTGCCTGAACACTAACTTTCAAACACATACACCCCCCCATAGTTGTGATGGATTCACTTATCGATTCTGTCTCCGTGTCAGCAAAACAGCCCACTGGAAAAGGATCTGCGGTAATCAAATATATACAGTGGAAACCTGATTTAACAGGGATGGTGGGAGTAGAGAAAAAGTCCTGTTATATCCAATCCCTGTTAAATCAGAAATGCAAAGAAAGTAGGCATTTATTGTGGACTAATCCAGCTGTACTTATTCATGTGTAGTTTCCCTTGCCACAAGTACCCACGAACTGGGGTTTTGGCACCAACTTTCTCAAGAAACTGCCTGTTCCATCTGTCCTGTTATATCCGAGTTTGACTTTATTAAGCCTACTGCACTGCATTTTCTGACTCTGTCACAATAGGCCTACCGTATAGGCCTACTACTACTATACTTTCATTGTAGTGTCCCAAGACAGAAACAAAGGAACCTGACTTTCTGCCCCTGAGTAAAATGTTCAAGTCTATAACAAAAGCCACTATGATCACTCTCTCAGCTGACTGATTGATTTGAATCATCCAATGAATAGCTATGATCTGTAATCAAATTCTGGAAAAGTTAATATGTTGCAGTACAAAAACTGAGTTGTTATCATTTTTACTCCCATACTGCTGTTGTTAGCTCGCTTTGCCATGAAAAAAAAAAATTGTGCAAACACTTGCCTCCGTTGTTTTTGTAATAATAAAAATGTCTTTATCTTATCAATGTGTTCTTTTTTTTTTTTCATTGGTTGTTTAAATTTGGTTACGGTGTCGGCCACTGGCATTTAAATGAAACGTACAACTTAGTACAAGACAGACGGTGTTGAATTAATGCAATGGATCCTCAGTGATACAGGCTGAATTCCAGTTTCCTTTTTCCTCACTAGCTGTGTAAAAACTTACCACCGTACTACAGACTATCCATGTGCATAGTGAAATCAGCGGGATGCGGAAATCTTTTCGTACCGGAGAAATTTTTTTACTTAAGGACCTGAAAATCTGTTTGCTGTGCCTGCAAGACTATAAATTAATTACTATAATAGATTTACAATTTACACGTACCGGTACCCAGAGTAGTGATAAAAATTACCTTATAATGTAAGAACCCTAGAAGAATGGGAGTATTTCAGGAAATCTAGAGCTTTTTGCCAAGCTCACAACTTGGGACCCTTTCTCTCTAATGCCTGGCCTCTCCTATTTGCTCTTGAGAGAATTTACTGACCATTCGCCATAAAGTTTGACGAATGGTATTTTGTTTACCAATCATAATTTAAGAAAGATACCTTATTCTCTTTTCCTCATATAGTCGAACCTGCTAAAGTTCTGACTACTAACAATAACAGCCATCTGTCAGATGGCGTCAATATCATAGAAATGGGCAAGGGACAAAAAAAAAACCCCAACCATCTGTACAATTGAGCACTTTTCCCTTCCCTTCTGACATTTTGTTCTACAATGTCCAACTGAACTACCTGTCTCTAACTCTAAGATGACCACTTTTCTCCCCGACTATAGTTGGCCCATTGAGTTAAGTAGACCTGCATGTTTGCCGACAATCGTCTGAAATCCGACAATCGCGACCCGACCCGCGAACCGGCCGATGCTATCGCTAGGCCCGCCTAGTATCAGTCAATGTGCGTAGTGCGAGGCCTGGCCGACTGCCAGCGACCCCTTTTTTCCCCGTCGGCTTCGTCGGCACTTTCGTTTTCGTGCCGACCGTCGACGCGCGCACCGCCGACTGCCGACGTCGGCGTTTCCGACATAATTGTCGGAACCTAAGTAGAAATGCGAATACGAAAAAGGACGACAACTTAAATTATCTACTTTCAGTTTCGTGCTCGAGCGGCCATTTTCAATTTCGTTTGTTGACTAATTCAATTGTTCAGATCGTGTGGGTTCATTCAAGTCCGACTCTCTTGTTCTAATAGAATCTAGATCTAGATTTATATAGAGATCATTATAGACCTCAATGGAGGATTCATAATCCAATTCTATTGTGTCAAACCCTATCATAGGTTGTGCTGTAATATTAATATTGGTAAAAATAAGCATTTCATCAGGTGCGTGAATTATTTATTATTATTATTATATTTAGATCTATAGTCTAGATTCTAGATCTAGATCTAGCTAGATCTAGATCTAGAATCTAGACTCAGCTGAGTCCCTCTGTTCGGAATCGGATGCGGATTTCTAGTTCAAAGCCTAGAATCTATTCCTATTCACTTGTTCTTCAGGATCTAGATCTAGATTTTTCTAGATCTAGATTTATTTTTTAGATTACTAGTCTAGTAGATCTAGATATCTAGATCTAGATCTATAGTCTATATGGAGGATTCGTATTCCAATTCTATTGTGTTATTGTATCAAACCCTATAGCAATGTAGATGTAAGCCATATAGATAAAATTTAGATCTAGATCTAGATCTAGAATCTATATGCTCCTTGTTTGTTTTGGAGTGTGGTTTTTTAATTAATTTTTTTTTTCATTTAGTACTTGTTTTGGCCTTTTTACATGCGAATCCCTTTAAGATGAGGCCCGATGCAGGTTCTTTTTGGGGTAGGGTTAGGGTTAGGTCTCTTCTTTATTGTGTTTGTTGGGGTGGTCGCTCGTTACTCGGATGTCCTTCCTTATGACACCCACTAAGGCTTTTTTTGGGGGGGGGGGGGGTTGCGCAAAATTTTCAGACAATCTGGTTGAGGCTCACATGCAGGTCTAGTTAAGATACCACTGTTACATCTCGCAAGATTTTTTTTTAATGAACTAAGAATGCAATTTCAAAACAACAAAAAAAGAAAGAACTGGACTATTTTCTCTGCATTAGGTGATCATTGTCATTAATGTCATGGTTTCTGCAACCTTTCTGCTTACTTACTGATCCCATAATCCACAAGGATCGTACGGGTGCTGTAAGATGATAGAGAGCCTCGTCAGGTACCTCCACTTTTCACTTTTTTTTGCCAGCACACGAGTTTGGGCGAAGGATTTCCCTGTCAACTCCGCAATGCTGTTGGTTAACCTCTTCCAGTGCCTTCCTCAGCAACATAAGCACTTCTAACTTTGTAACAGAACAATGGCATTACTGTCTGGTGGTATAGTATGGGATACCAGTGTCTTGTGAGGAATATGCAGCAGCAACAGTGTGGAGAGACATTCAATGTGGAGAGACATTCAAACTTTTTCTTTCGCAGCCCACCTAAATTGTTTTCATTCTCACTATACCACCCCCTTTGAAATGAAGATTATGTAACCAGAAATGACATGCGACGCTTGAAGTAAAAGTTTCTCTCCATTGTTCCAGTACCAATTCCATGGTAATCCCCCTATTTCTAACTCACAAATCAGACCTTTCAAAACACAAGTAGTTTCAGTGATTTCTGGTAGTGGTAGTTCCTGTTAAACATGTCCTTAAAATGTAGGTGTTTTCACATCCCCATGACACAATTTACATCATTTAGGAGGCGGGCTTCCAACCCTGCCTATCACTCAGGGACAATTTGGGCTGGGAGTGAGGGACACAACATCACAGCAGAAAGACCAAGATACAGAATAATAATTTTCTGCCTACTTCAGAGGGAATCAGACTCGGGTTTCCTACATGGCACAGCAAAGCGCTTAACTGTTACAGTTACACCAGAGCACTGGTAAACAGCTCCTTTACTTTATAGAAAAGTGACATGTAATACAATAAATGGTCGCTTTTAAGGACAAGCAGGCTAACCCAGATTTCAGGGGTTTCCAGAAATCTTGACCTAAGCCAAAAGTGGGCATTTCCCTACCTATAGCAGAAGTTTGGCTTCACTTGTGTGTATATTTGTTTGGTTATAGAGAAAAATCTTGTTTTTTAATGAAACTGAACAAGGGGCAAAAACTTTACCTTCGATTATCTCAGAACAGCATTTTCTGGGATCGCCCACTTGTCCTCAAAAGCGACCAAATGTACTACAATTTTACTGGACACTGGCGTTAAATTATAAGTATAAGCAGATCTCGGAAATAAAACAACCCAACAAAACAATACGAAAATAAATTAAATTATCAAATAGTGACAACAAAGAAATACAACATTGAATCAACGCAGAACTCTGAGATCTGTTAAAGTTTAATTCCTTTGGAACAGAGATGCCTTGACTATGTACAAATGGGAGCAGCTGTACATCGATCTATGGAACTTGACGACATAATCTCTCCGACAAACATTCACCCCGCCAACACATAAGGCAAGAGACCGCACACACATTTTAACTCCTCTGCAGGGATAGATGGACACTGCAGGCTTTGTCACACATTCTCCACATGACAGCGTAGGCTGGTTGTTGATATGCAATCACATTAGAACACATTTTGGGCTATCCACGGACCTGAAAAAAAGGAAGAAAAGAATTTGTCAGTCAAAAGATAATACCCAGCACACATTGCCCATTTGATAGAGTTGGGGCCGGCCAAGGGTACTTTTTTTTAAGTAGAGGTTTTACGGCGCTCGCAACTGCATATGGTCATGAGCGCCAGAAGATTAGATTAGAGGTGTTACAACAGAGTAACAAACATAAAAAAGAAGAAGGGGAGATAAGGACGACAGATGTTTGATAGGAAAGAAGAAGCAAACCACAACAGAGCACCTGCCAACCACCCACCAAGCCAAGAGTTTCCTTCATGGAGTGGCAAAATCTGCCATTGTAGCAGTAGTACATTTTTGTAGCACAATAATCAGATCCTCCAAAAACATCCATGTTAGATCTTTTAAAAACTGTTGGCCCAGTCTTGAAATGAAAGCAATGAAGCGGTACAACAAAATAAACTAGTGCACAGCATGTTTCAAGCAGCCTATGCAAGAGCATTGGTCACGGCGTCACTTTTCGCCCGATTCTGTTACTTTTAGTTCGCGTGACTCAGCAGCCCGCCGGAGCTCCCCGGCTCGGGGTCACGGGGTTAATGAGCCCTGAAGCGACTTTGCCGGTGTCGGTTAGGAAGTTCGCATTTTTTACTATGTTTAAAACGATATAACTTCTTCCCCATCCCACATAGCAAACCATTACGCGGATGTACTAAAAGCTCAATGTCTTGAGATTTATTCTGCATTAGAATGGTTAATTTCTGTGCCTTAGTTTTTGTTCAAGACAAGTGTTTGTAGAGTACCCAATTTGTCCTATTATAGTTACAAACTTATGAATAAATGATTGTTAATTTTAAAAAGGCACGACAGATCGCTCCAAACTCTGTGTTAAACTGACTACGAATATCATGTCTTTTACCATGAGAAATCTTAAATCTGCGCAAGTAGAAATAGTCAAGTTATAAGAGAAGAAAGATGCACATCTGCATTTTTAAACTAAAGACGATCAGCGTTAGCTCTTATTTTACTATCAAACAAGAAAAAGTTACTCTGCGTTTGTTCATGAATCATGCTGTGTCTGTGGCAGCCTGCATACAACTAAAAAGATATAATATAGAATCTAAGCAATTAAAAAAAACCCAAAACCGTGTAAATACATGGGTAGAGATAAACTTCTTGTATGGAATAAAAATGACAGCTAACACATTCATTCTTAGTTTTTGCGTCGGAAATATGCACGGACACAATTATGAATGTAAAGAAATCAGTCACATTGTCAATTATTGCAAATGGTCACAGAAACGAAAAATAAAGCTGGAAAAGTCTGGTACTGATTCAGTGTCCCTGGAAAGCTAGAAATTATTCTTATAACCCAATTACGAGAAGTCATCCCTATTATTCAGTCAACTAACAAAACCTAGACTTAGCGTTTTAAGAAAAGTAAGGAATTTCTGGAGTGTAACGGATGCTGTTCATGTATTAGATCTACATTGAAGATGTATTCTAGCACTAAAATCGATTTGTACTTTTCATAGAGAAACTTCATGGTGACTTTTATAAACTTTCGAGAAAATATGCGAAAATTCACGATTATATTAGACACATAAAGTTGTATTTGGAGGAATTACTTCATAGCGAATTGAGTGCCCGATGGATAAAGTTGCAACATTACAGCTTTCTATTATATGCGCAGATATCATCTTTTCTGAGTATCTGCACCAATGCTATGTCGTTCATGTTCAAAAAGTTCGACAGATTTTGACGAGGCCTTTTTTATATTGATTTTTTTTTCATTCACGCTAGTCAAAAAAAAAATTACAATTTAGCATTGCCGACTCCAGCGCGTCTAACGAAATAACCATACAAGTTACAACGTCCGTTCTTTTTTGAGTCTCAAGAGCAGAAATGCAAGCTTTGGGTGCACTAAATGAGAATTACCATAAATACAAGGATACACCTTAAATTGTACGTTGAAAAGTACCAAAAATTAAGTCGGCCCATACATAGCGGCCACAGGGAGCTGACCCGCATGACCCCGACATGATAAGGCGCTCGGCGGAGAACCCCCTGCGGCAACTAAAATTCCACTGCCGGTGCGCCGTGTGGTACAGTGTTAAGAGAAAAAATAATAATGCCTCAATCTATCCCGTAGAGGCACCATGATCCGGTTTGAGTGAGAAAAACTATTACTAACCCACTTGTGCCTTGTTTTTTTTTACCACCCAAAAAAAAAGATACCTGATGGTTAAATAACTAGATTCTACATGATTCATATCATCACTCCATTGTCAACATCTCTCTGCGTTGCATAATAATAATTATGCAGATATTCTTTGTGGATAAAGAATAATAAGGACCCCTAACTCCAGTGGTGGTCAGGATGAGTATGAGTCAGTACAATCGGCTCCTGTTTTAACAACATCCTGTACAAGACAATTACCTGTACAAATGGCCACCCCCCCCCCCCCCCCCTCCCCTCCTGCATTTTTAACATGATAATGACACTACAACTACAACTACCACTTTTTCTCTTCAACAATGGATGGCCGTCTTGGACAAGTCAGACTGTACAAGCCAGTGGTAGGACTGACTGCAAATAAAATACATGTACTGTTGACAACACAATGTGGAGAGGTGTCAAAGTCAAAGACGTGAACTGTTAACAAGAGAGAGTAAAATTAGAAGACAAAAATGGTAACAATTAAACAACAGACAAAACATTCTTCACTTAACCCTAACTCTGGCAGATGTTTTCAATAGGAATGGCAAGGCTAATCAGCCAAACGTGCACATGCTTTACAAATGAGACAAATCCAATTTATAAACTTGTATCAAATAATAACCCAACAAAAGTATGTAGCCTACTTTCTGAAAATTTATTGAATGAACTTTTATATTTTGCCCTTGAACATATGATTTGATTTAATTTACAAGGGGTTATGTAACTTTGAAACCCAAGATTGCTGACATAAAAAATGTACATGCTCATTAGCATATATATATAATATACCAATCTAATGTGTATCGTGTTATGAAAAATGTGAGATAGCAGAAATATAGGTTTTTCAGTAACCTTTCAGAAAATGTATAGGTATATATAGCTTTGAGAAGAACAGGTAATGAGGTATAATGACTGTTTCAATTTATCATTTTGTCACGTGGTCTGTTTCGAGCGCAACTGATACTCACAACTTCACATCATGCTCTACATTAAAACACTCTAAGTACAGCCATATATGGTTTTCAGCAATCTGCTGGTAGTCTGTAATAAGTAGTTGAGCAAAAGAAACCTACTTTATTCTATAACTCTCCCTTTTCTGTCCCTCTTAGACTCCCAAAGGTAGTGTTCCATTTGAAAGAGAACTTGTGTCAGGATGAGAACTGGTATCACCATCGTCTGTCAGATCTAATCCCAATTCTTGACTGAACACCAATAGATCCACCACTAACGGTGTCTGAATTACTTTCCCTAGTCAATTCAATTTCACAAGTATCCAACAGAGATTGATTTTTGGCTATTTTAGACCCACATGAGTAGCACAACAAGTGATAGAACTACACTGGCTTGCGTTCTGACAAACAAGCTTTCAAAACATCCCTCTGTTTCGAAAGGAAAATACTCGTCCCCCAAGCCTGAATAGTAAATATATTCTGACAGTTGGAGGTTAGCTGTTAGCCTTTTAGCCAATCAGAAATCACTCTAGGAAGCCCCAAATATTTAGTTGGAAGGCAGAAGCAGCAGTTTAATATATATGGTCCTTTGAGATCAGCCCTGCCAGTTTCAATTTTCAGGGCAGGAAATCGGCTGATCTAATCGGCCCTTGCCAAAATTAGGGTTAATCAAGTAGATATATATGATATAATATGTATAATAGACCCACCTGCACGAATTAATCCACAAATAACTGCAAAACCAACCACATTCTGGAGAGTAACTAGGCGTGCCATCTTGGTCTCCTCTTCCATTTTCTTTTTCTCATCCTCACCGTCACCACCAGTTGGTCTTTGTAGGCGAATCATTGTGCTGATTTTCTGAGGAGAAACAGAATCTTTTATAAAAATACAGAGTTCACTTTAAACTGAACATGATTACCGTACCTAATCTGAAAACGGCTTCAAAACCCAAAAAAAAAAAGAATCCAAAATCTTTTATTTCTTCTTTTTTTTTCTTTGTAAGAAAGAACTTTATCCGTCAATTAGACAGAATCCCCCCATTTGTAAACCAAAAAGATAGAGAGGATTATGTCGACAAATCTTTACACATATATACAACAATCAACTCTCAAAAGATGCAAATCATCAATAGAGTCTTTCGTGCTTCAGTTTACATAGTAATAGTTGTAACAGAGTTCTAGGCACCTGAAATATCATAAAAGTGCCAAAGATTAGGCAAGTTACTTGAGAGATTACCATTATAATATACAAAGTTAAAAAAGGAGGGGAGATGGACGATGGGTTAGACAGGAGGAAAGAAGCAAACCACACCAGATCGTCCACCAAGCACCCACTTCAGATTAATATATAGCGAAACAGTAGAAGAAAGAGACACGAAAACACACAGTGCGGATTGTGGGTATAGATCTGAGGTTTAAAATAGGTTTCCCCTTTTTTTCATTGTCCAAAAGTTCATCGCTCAGCACACATCTACTATTAATTTCACCTTAAAAATGCTTTGCTGTCACATCTCGCCGATCGGAGATGTTTGTCGCCCAGTTTCTTTGGATTTTCCCCAAAATGCCTTTGCCTTTGATGGCAAGGGTTTTTACATATATATATATATATATGAGCCTTGTGATGGCAAAGTGTTAACAGGTAACACAAGGCCTGGTATCTGCTCTAAAAAGAAAGGAGTCACCTCTGCCTAGTGGCACGCTATTCTTCCTTTCCTCCCCTACTCAGGTTTAGAACTACGTCCTCACCCTTCGACAGCCCACAATCGACTAACGTCTCTTATCAGGTTTTTCAGTCATCACGACCATGCTACCGTGCCCTTTGACCCACGACCCTGACACCTTGAGGCTAATCACGTGGTCCACTATTCTTATTTGCTCCTGACTCTTGCTACTGCTAGGCTAGGCCTAGCGTACTCCTGGTCCGGCAAAGTACAATGGGGGGGGGGGGCAAGAGATGCGCACAAGAGCTCTTTTGCATTTATAATTGCAACCCCCTCGGCCCTGCTCGCAACTTGGCGAGTGCTGCGAAGCAAGGCTCGGCCTGTTCCAACTCTAAAATTAGATCTACCCCGATTGTCCGCTCATGACGTGTGTGAGTGTTTTTGAATTATTGTTGCCAGAGGGGTAGGCCCCCCCTGAAATAAAGTGCCGTAACATCTAAAGTAGGAAGTGGCTATCCTCACCCGGCTTGAGAATAAAAATACGATCGACCTCTCACCCCGGGTGAGACTTGCCAGCTTCGGCTATTCTCACCCGGTGTGAAACAAGACCTGTTTTTCCTAATTTTGGAATACTGTCTAGATCAGTTTGGATTATCAAATTGATAAAAGCAAAGAAAAAATGACATTATAGCACAAAAGTGTAAGCTAATTTGATCGTCTACAAAGATGCTATGGCTATTTCACTTTTCGAATCGAGCCGAACTACGCGGGTCGCCATTTTGTTTTGCCCAGAAGTTCTCGCAAGATCTACTCCTCCCCTCTCTTTCTGAATACTGTCTATCGGTGTGGACAATCAAATAGACCGAAACAAAGTTAAAATTTAAATGATGTTAAAACACAAAAGTAAATTAATTTGGTCATCTACAAAGATGCTACGGCTATTTAAAAATTGTTCGAATCGAGCCAAACTACGCGGGTCGCCATTTTGTTTTGCCCGAAAGTTCTCACGCTGCTCCTCTCTCTCTCTCTCTCTACTGCCCACAGACAAAATTGCACATATTAGGCTAACAGTAGTAATGGAACGTTTGTTCACGACACAGAATTCTACAATTCTGTTATCACAGTGTAGAATTCTGTAGTTCAGGGTGAACGCTACACTGGTTGGCCTAGGCTATTATAACAGTGAACGCACACAGGGTGAGAATAGCCAAAAGACTCGCCTGCGCTATTCTCACCCGTGAGAATAGAGGTGGCCTCTAAACTAACCATTTGCGACGTTTTTCAATGCCAAAATCGTGTTCAGGGCCCTAAAAAACCTTAACTCACTTCAGACGGGTCACACAACAGTTGCGTGACCCCCGCCATGACGCTCGCGTCGGGTCTCACAAGCCCTGCGTGACCAACTTTGGAATTTTTTTTTCGCTCTACAAATCACGCACGGATCGCGAGACCC